GCGGGGGCGGCTCCCGGTCCCCCCCCCACCCCCCCCTCAGCACCTCAGGGCTCCGCGGGCCGTGGCGGGGCCGTGGCGGGCGGGCTCCGCCTCACCCCGCTCCCTGAGGCCGCCGCCCGCGGGCCCGGCCCCAGCACCTGCCCCAGGCCCGGCCCCGTTCCGCCGCCGCCCCCAAATGGCCGCCGCCGCCTCACGGATGGGAAAGGGGAGAACGAGGGGGGGAGGGAGGGGGGGGCGGCCGTTAGGGCCCGGATTCCGCAGCGACGGGAACCGGGGAGGGAGGGGGGGGGGGCAGTGCGGGCGGGGCCCCACCGGGTCACCGCGTCCCCCCCCGCCGCCGCTACCACCACCCCGGCTCGCAGCTCGGCCGAAGCGGCCCCGCTCCTACCTGCGAGGCGCGGGCGGCGGCGGCGGGGCCGGGAGCTGGGGGCCGGGCCGGCCTCTCAGACGCCATGGGGCGGGCAGCGCGGCGCGGCCCGGCGGAGGCAGCGGCGGGGGCCCCGGCGGCGCCGCCTCATCGCGCTGACAGCCGGGAGCGCCCCGCCCCCGCCCCGCCCCTCTCGCGAGAGTGCCGCGGGCCCCCGCGTGACTTCTGGGGAGGGGGGGGAGCGGCACCACAGAGCGGCCGCCGGCAGCGCCTCCCCGCGGCGCGTCGCGAAATGGCGGCGCCGCCTGTGACGGGCGGGAGGCGTCCCCCAGGTGAACGCGGGCACAAAATGTTTCCCTCAGGACGCTGCAGGCGCCTCACGGTGGCTCCCAACAAAGGTGCGCTTCAAAAGTCGGCCTCGCTTCCTTTTGACGCAGGGAAATCCCCTTCACACGCCTCTAAAAACACCTCATAATTCCTTCTATTTCATTGGTCTGATTGCCAGTGATAGCCATATGTCAAAAATGAGTACACACAGAACAAATTTTACCACATTTGAAACGAATCTGTCCCATAACTGCGCATTTATTGAACGGTAATGGCAGCCCGGTGTAAAAGGTTGAGGTGTGGGGGAGAAATAAGCTTTTTCCTTGTTTTATGACCTCTTTCAAGTATGAAGTTTATTTAAAATAAGAATGTGGACACAAAGGAAAAGTTACATACAAACCTGTACATATACCCCAGTTAATACCTGTAAATACAGGAAGGGTGAGTGCAGGGTATTAGCATGCTTTTCAAGGTCAGGCTCGTAATTTTGAAGCAATTAAGAACCAGAAATTAATTTTCTGTGAAAAAACAAGCAAACTCAATATTAATCACAAGGTCAAAAAGGCTGACAGTGACAGACTAATGAATGCAAACAAAAGATATTGCTCAGAAATGTTTTTTTTCCCCAAACGTGAGGCAGTTGCACCATAAACAAGATGGCTCCCAAACCTCAGCGTGACAATTACTGCAGATAAAAATCACCAAAATAAAACAAACAATCACCTTTTAACATTAAGTAAGAACAGAGATTTTGAAGGCAAGGCCTCATGCTCAAAGTACTGGATAAAACAGGTGACTTTAATCCAGTTGCACAGCTACTTGCCTTGGGTGCATCTTTTTTGTCTCTACTCATACACACCCAGGTAGGCAGACTTAGCACACGTGTATGACTTGAATTTCCAATGGATCAATACAATCGAATCACTCACAAGAAAACTTACACAAGTTAAAACTTTTTGTGAATTTTTGAAGGAGTACCACACTGGTGGCTCCTCACTCAGCTTCATAACACAGTACTTGCCCATTTTTATTCCATGATATTGGAGGAAGGCATACACACACAAAAGGCCTACTATGAACTGGGACTTGCAAATATTACAATCCAACTAATACGCACTTTAAGTACTGAATAATATCAAATTAAGAGATTGAAAAACATCTTGTGAAGCAAGTTCTTAAAAACTCCTCAATTAAAGTTTCTAATACACGATGGCAATGCTAACGCTGGCATAGCTGATTGTTCCCATTACAGGTAGTACCAGGAAACTGCACTCAACCCCTCACATTACTGATAACTAAAACCCCAAACAACAACTGGTACAGTCACAGTTAAGTAAATTAAGTTAAACTTGTTAATTGACATTAAAAATCGTCTTTTATTTTCAAAAGAGCCAAGCTATGGAGCACAAGTGTCACACTTCTGGACTCATCAAGAACTTCACAGCAGCACTTCTGACATTTGAAGGAAAGCAAACCCTCGTGATACAGACAAGATTAAGAACGACTGCTTTTTGCTAATTGGAGAGAATCTAATGTGAGTACCATTATCTTGTAATTGAATTGCAACTGAATTGACTCTTTATTCATATCACATTAAGTGAAAGAAACATATACCAGTCAAAGACAGGTACCGGATAAAGATTCCGCATTACAGGGCCTTCACCATTTATGATGAAACTGAAATGACCTTTGACAAAGTACAAACACAGCTATCCAAACACACGCAGTTACTGTTTTACTGTATCACAGAACCAGAGTATATAAGACTTCTATGTCTATGTTGTTCCTTTCAAGATATAAAAGAATTGTTTTTCAAAATGAACATAGCAAATGTTGTTACATAACAGCATACAGTTTAAGTTTTCACATTGGTATATGTATCTATGATCTGTAAAAGAAAAAAAGACAAATGTTATAACTCAGCAGATAGGACTAACTTAGTAAGTCAAATACAGGCACTAAACACTGGTATGACAAAAAAAAAAAAAAAAAAAAAAGATCAACCAAAAGTTTAGAACAATTCAGAACTCATTCATAAAACTGAATGCATGTCAGTCTTATGAGACTATCCAGTTTAAAAAAAATAAATGAACTGCAAGGCAATACTTTTTTTTTTTTTTCCCCTATTTGCAAAAGGCAACTTGAAAGCTTCCTTGATTTTGTTTGTTGGGTGTTCTTTCTTAAATATCACAGATTTGAGTATGAGACTGTGCCTTTCTTCTGGTGAAAGATCCAGCAAAATTTGGTCAAGTTAAGGAGATGATTTCACCGTAAGTGACACATGAGCAGGGTGGGAGCGAATGACTCGCTGAATAAGTACAAGAATCTCCTTCCCTTAGCCATTATAGATCAGGAGCATCGTGGCTCAGGCTTCAGCTTATTGCAGTGTCAGTATGAGTTTGAAGTCGGCAGCGCCCACCCTTGAAAAAAGGGAGCGCAGAACATAATTAGCTGCATAAAAATTAGATATTTCAGGGACACTAGAAGAGAAGCATGGAACATTTTCCCCTATTTTATGGTTTACTTTCAACCAGTAAACGCATTTTGAACGCTTACAGCAATAGTAGCCTCAATACAAGCAAGATCGCTGTTCTCAGGTGTCTTTGCTCACCAGTCACATATCTGTCCTCTCCATTACGTGGGAATCTGTTAAAACATCTAGAGTTGCACTGGGTGGGAGCGTTTGGCATAACACAGCTCCACAGCCGTCCATCTATTCATCATAGTCTATTTTAATTTTTGTAATAGCGCTCAGGTTTGTTTTTTCGCTGCTGCTCCTCCCGTGAACAGATGTTAAGTGTTTTTTAAGAGCAGACTTGTGTTTAAAGTCCATGTCACAACAATGGCACTTGTAGGGCCTGTCACCGCTGTGTATATTCAAGTGGTCCTGGAGAGTACTTTTGGCAGTAAACGTCTTCAAGCACACCATGCACTGGAAGGGGCGGATACCCATGTGCCCCCGGATGTGTCTGTTGAGATTCTTTTTTTGAGTAAACGTTTTACCACACTGCAAACACAGGAAGAGCTTGTGCATTTTTAGATGCCTCAGATAGTTCTCAAGATGCAGAAATCCCCTCGGACACTTTGGACACTGGTGCCGCCATGAATTACCAGAATCATTCAGACTTTGAAACCCATTCATCTGACTCGAAGTCCCTTCTGGGTTGTCATTGACAAAAGCCTGGAAGTGATTTCCTGACGTTTCGGTATTTCTGCTTTCAACCGTAGAATTTATCAAGGAGTGTTGGGTTTCTGGAAAGTATAAATTTGTTTTAGAGGAGGTGCAAGGCTGAGGAAAGTGATCATTTTCTACGCTAGGGACAGGCACAGAGTCCATCCTGAAGATACAAATTTCGTCATCCTTATATCCTATTTCAACTGTTGATATTTCTGGGGTTTTCGTTTCCTTCCTTTCCGAATCCATGCTCTGTGCTGCAGGCTGCGAGACATCCCCGTTTTCCTCTTTAATGGAGAACTCTAAATTAGCCGGGCTATCTTCCGCAATCTCAATTATTTCACAATCTTTATCCACCGCGTCCTCCCTGCTCCTCAGCTCCGTGTCCGAAGAGTGGCACCTCTCCGCAGCCTGCCCGCCGTTCTCCATGGACGCGTCGATTTCCAGGTACTTCGACAGCGCCTCGGTGCACTTCTCCACGATGTGAACCATCTGCAGGTAGCTGGCGGCGGTCAGGTACTTGAGGAGCTCCTTCTTCTTGACCTCCAGCGCGCCGGTGTAGCAGGAGAGCAGCAGCTTCCTGCCCACCTCGGCGCTCTGCAGGATGGTGATGCGCACCTGCCGCGACTGGTTGAGGAGGAACTGGTCCCGCATGAAGGTGGAGCAGGCGGCGAAGATCACCTTGTGGCCCGGGAACTCGGTGTCGTTGATGTAGATGGAGACGTCGCAGAAGAGGTTCTGCTGCCGCAGCAGGTTCATCTTCTGCAGCACCGCGTCGCCCTGCTGCTCGAACTGGAAGTGCAGCACCTCCGAGTCCGCAGCCATGGCGGAGCTCCCGGGGGGGGGGGGGGCGCCGCCACCGGGACCGCCTCTCTCCGCCGGGACCGGGCTGGACTGGGCCGAGCCGAGCCCTCGCAGCCCCACGGAGCTCTACGGAGCCTCACGGAGCTCTCGCAGCCCCTCGGAGCCTCCCCGCTCCCCGCCGCCGCTGCCCCCGCGCCCGCCGCCCGCTGGAGCCGCCTCCCCCAGCCCCTCCCAGGCCGCCCGCCCTTTCCGGTACCGGCACCGGCTCCGGAAGCGCCCCCGCCCCGTCCCGCCCCGCCCCGGCGGACAAACGAGAGGCGGCGGAGGCAGAGTTAGCAGCACGTTTATTGCGGGACTTGGCACTGCTACGGCGGCGGCCGCGGGGCGCAGCGCCCGGTAGAGGTAGCGTGGCAGCGGCCCCCTCCCGCGGCCCCGGCCCCGCCTGCTTTGGTAACGCCGCTGGGGACGAGGGACGAGCCTCCTGCCCGGTCCCTGAAGAGGTAGCTGATGCTCGGTCCGCCGGGGGCAGTCCCACAGCACGGCGTCGCTCGGCCTCCTCCGCTCCTCGCCGAGCGCCGGCTGTTTTCCTCCTTCTTTCTCCTCTCTCCGAAAGCGAGGCTCGACCTTAGATCCGTTCACGGCTCGGTCGGCATCGAGTTTTGATTCTCCCTCCTCGCCTTCGCTCCTCCCAGCGAGTCCAGAACCAAAACCGGCCCCGCACCATTTGTAAGTTACTTCAGGAGTTCAGCGGCAGCTTTCCAAGTTTTTGCCACAAAGCTGGGGAAGAGAGACTGACGCTTCGGTTACATCAGTTAGTAACTTGCAACACACGTCCTCGGAACGAAAAATGACAGAAAGACTCATCCCTGATCTCTACAGGAGGCTGTGCAGCTGCCCCACGTTCAGTGGGGCCGTGGGCTGCACAAGCTACCACCCCTCAGCAGGGCGGTGAGCCTCAGCCTCTGGTAAATCTAAGAGTTCTAAGAATTCTCCTCTATATCAAATAAATAAAATGCCAACATAAAAAATCCTATTATATTCAAGGAGTTATTAAAATATTTTTGTAATAGACCAGTTATTTTTAGGATATGCAGGAAGTTGTACAGCACATTAAGTTGTGAGACTATCCACTTACCAGCAAATAGTATTCTACACATTAACACACAGATTATAACTGCCAGAGTCCTTGTCTGAATACGCAGCATCAGCAGCAACAACCACTGGATCTAGTCTTTCACTAACTGGAACATTGCAATGAAGACATTTTACATACGTGGACAATTAAGTTCATCTCATTCTATAATCACACTGCCTCTGTATATTCCATTTATAATCATTTTCATTCCATTTTAATCTAATTCAGGGAAGAGGCAATAGCCAGATTTTGCTTTTCTAATACCTCTTCTGTACTCTTCGCTCATCTGTTCCATATGGGGGCAAATCTTACATGAACTCTTACCACTGGCACACTTCACATTGTGCCATCAGCATGTTGCCTTCTTAATCTCTAGTGCTTCTGGAGCTACATTGCTGTCTCCTGCATAAATCTTTTGGTCTGCACCCTTCTGCCAGGCCAAAAACACAGACATTTGTAAGAAGACATCTTTCATCCAACAGATCTGTCTTGCTTTCATTGAAGAAGCAGTCTTCTGCATTTCTGCTTTTTCCCATTTATTTCTGCCGTGGTCTCACCAAATGACACAAGCAGCCTTTCAAATGAACAGCCAGCAGTCTCGGCCTTCTCAGAAGTTGGTATCACCAATGCACAGGGTGGATGGAAAACCTGGATGTCCTGATCAAATCATTTTTTGTTTCTTAGGATAACCCCTTGTCTCTTCAAGTCAGCTTCAGGTCGCCCATGGCTACTTCAACAAGCTATATCCATCCTCCTTGCAGTAGCCTTACAGCTTGGTAATTCCATGAAGAAACTTCCCAGACAAAGTTCTCAATACTGTCCATTTTGCTGCCACTTTTCCTCTAGCATTTGCAGTTCTATTCCTTTCTCTGGCAGAAGACCATTTTCTTTATCATATCCGTATCCATGTATTGTTAGATTTGTCACTAAACCCTTACAGTATGTTGACCTGCAAGTTCTGATTCTCCATTTCTATCTTCTTTTTGACATTAGAGCTGTAACTTATTTCCATGTAGCAGGTAACGGTATAAAAATGTTGCAACACAGAGGATTCTGCCTGAAGTCAGAATACAAGGGTCAGATGCGACTGTCATGGTCTGTTTTAGCTCAAAATGATTCTGGAAGCAGGTTACTGAAGAGGAAAACAGCTTTTCTTCCCACGCCTACCCATTTTTTGCCCCTGGAACCTGAACAATAATTCTTAAAAGTCCCAAATAGTTATTTTTTAGGCCTAAATATATTTGCTACAACTTGAAAGACGTAATGCCCTGACTCCATTTCCATTGCTTACTTCATAGCTGTCCATGTAATAATAGTTAATGTAACAGTCAAGTACAGTAGTTTAAAAACTCAATTGCAAAAACTGATTCACAGAATCACCTTGCTTTGCTACTCGAAGGTATGTGGATTTCTGAACACGTTCTGCAAGATAAACACTTTCTACTGTCCATCAGTGAAATGTCTGCATAAAGAAATCCTGGTTTCTACATACACGTATCTGAAGATCAAGACCAACTTTTGATAATTACGTACAAAACATTTTTTGCTCTAACACACCTTTGGTCATACCTGTTTAGCATTTTTAACCATACAGTAGCAGCCTCCCCCCACCCCTACCCCTCATTCAGACACACAGACAGTACTACTTTTAGGTAGGAAGCATTATCTCAGCCTCATGGCAAACCTTGAGGAAAAGAGCTGCATTGGAAGAAATACTTATTCCACATACACACAGCAGTTCTCCACCAAGGATCTGCCACTTGATTATTAGTCTATGCTACACTTCAACAGAATGAGTGCTCTTCTACTGGGAATGGTGTCCTTCAGATGAGAAATTAGTTTCTTTCAGCCCAATTGGGATGTGGATAATTCCACGGCACTTTTGAGAAGTAATACAGTATCATCCTAGAATCCCAATTAATATGCCATTCCCGCTACATTTGATGTTTAAGGCGGTATACAAGAGGTATTGCTGAGTACAGTCAATTGCTAATACACTAAACTATGGAAATTGTGCTACCTATACCTCATCGTAGGCTCTGTAAAACACTAATGGTCATGAACTATGTAGGTCACTTAAAAAAGAAAAAAGTGTTCTTTGAGTATCTAAGAAATCAAAAAAACTTCATGTTAATATTCCTGTGGCAGGTACTTTTTTTTTCTTCCTTTTTTTTTTTTTTTTTTTTAAACTGACACGTGGCCCTTACTAGTTATCAAGGAGAGATATACAAGAACTAAGGAAAAAAAAAGGAAAAGCATGGAGTTACTATACATTGCAGCTTTTAAAAAACAGAGTATTTTCACAGTGTCAAAAAGCAGTATTTCTCCATTCCAACTTTGCTCTAAAACCTATTAGGAAAGTAGCAACTGTTGTGGTTATTTGAAGCAAAATTTATGGAAGATAGATAATAACTTCTAGTTTTGAAGTGCTTAGCTTGTCTCAGTACATACAACATAAGTGCCCTTTAGCGACCCTCGGTATGATGGCCTGTGAAATTGGTCACACCGGCACCCCAGGTGCCACGCTCGCAGATTTCAGAGCTGCAACTTATTTCAAACAGTCCTATGCAACCATCAGCTAACCCTGCCAAATCCTTCAGGGTTTTACCTTTTCAAAATGCATGCCAACATTAAAAACCCTGAGAGCTTTTAAGATAGTGTTGATTGGCAGTAGTAGTTTCTTGAAATAGTGTAGGAAGGGCAAAAAAAAGTGACGTAAAAATACTTCATTTCAACTGTAGAGGTCTAGGGGTAAGATTGGTGAAAGATAATTTTAAGAGGTAAGTTTAAAACAAATTAGCACTATGTGGAGTGCTTTCTCAGTGATCCAGTGCTTTAAAAAAATAATAACTGGGTTATCTCACAGACTTGTCCTCTTTGCTCTTTCCTCCATCTGCCCAGACACAGAGAAGCCTCTGACTGTACAGCAGATGGCTCACTTGCAGCCCACAGCAACAGTCTCTCACAAGGTGTTAGTCTTGAGTCTCCTGATCAGAGAGAAATGAAACAATTAACCCCTTAATCCACAGTAGAGACACAGACAGAAACCTGAAGGAAGATTGTTATTCACAGAAGGTATCAAGTAAGACTAAGAACGATGGCTGAAGACCTGCCAGTTTCTGCAATCCAACCCTTCATCCATCCATCTATCCGTAGCCTTTCAGAGCAAACCACTAGTTTAGGTAAGAGCCCAAGCCAACTGTTTGCTCCTCTCAGTCATGATCCCCACAAAGGGCTGCTTTTAATTGCTTAATTGACGCAGGTGCTATCATTTCTTAAACCGAGCACAGCCTGAGGCAGCTTCCCTGCATCCAGTACCTGGCTTGCGTCAGCTTGCTGACAGACCTTACTGTCTGTAGCAGCGCTACACGTGAATGAATCGAAGTCCACCGTTATGTCTTGAACGTTTCTTTCATTGGCATTGTCAAAGCTATTTTTACCATGTAGCTGTTTAAGATGTTTCCTCAGAACGGGTTTATGCGCAAAAACCATGTCACAGTAGTTACATTTATGGGGCTTATCCCCACTGTGCAGGTTGAGATGGTCCTGTAAGGAACATTTCTGAGAGAAGGTTTTCCCACAGATCTTACATTGGAACGGTTTGATGCCTGCATGCACCCTCATGTGCCGGTGGAGATTGCCTTTCTGAGTGAATGTCTTGCCACAGAGCAGACACATGAATAGTTTATGCATCTTTAAGTGATTAGCATAGTTTTCCAGATGCCGAAATACTCTTGTGCACTTTGGGCACTGATGGTGCCACTGGAGGCCTTTGTCTATACCTCGGTTGTTAGGCCCAAACATATCTTTAGAGGCCAGAACGATGTTATCGCTGCCGGCATACGAAAGGGCATAGTTGTGGAGGTGGTTTTGCTCTATTTCACTTGCTCTGTTTTCAACGGTGGAGTTGATTAGAAAGTGTTGAGGCTCTGAGGAATGCAAAGCAGTTTGTTCAGAAGAAATAAACTGGTTCTGATCCTTCTTGTTTCTAACTTCCGTTACCTCCCCAATGGACTCCACCTTGATGATCTGAATATCACTGTCCTCCATGTCCATACTGTCTTCTGAGGGCTGGATACAAGGTGAATCTTGTGGAAGAGAGTCTTCATCTTCTGGGTGTTCCTTCAGCTCGGAGGAGTCGCTTTGCTGTTCGCATTCCTTGCTCTCCAACGGCTGCTTCGGTTTGATGAACTTCCAGAGCGCCTGTGTGCAGCGTTCCACGATGTGGCTCATCTGCAGAAAGCTTGCAGCAGTTAAGTAGTTTACCAGTTCCATTTCGGGAAACTCCAGAATGCCACTGTAACAGGATAAAAGCAACTGCCTCCCCACTTCCGAACTTTGCAGTATGGAGATTTTTACATCTCTGGAGTCATTTAATAAGAACTGATCTCTTAAAAAGGGAGAGCCAGCAGCAAATACAATTTTATGCCCGTGAACTTCAACATCATCTATATGGACCACAACATCACAAAATTTGTTTTCTTCCCTCAGCTTGTTCATTTTCTGTAACATTGAATCTCCATAATTGTCAAACTTGAAGTGAAGAATGTCTGATCTTTCTGACATTTTGGCACACCTAAAGAAAAGCAGCAAGGAAAAAAAAAGCAAGTGAGAAACTAAAAACTAAAAAGTTTCTAGAATGCAAGTCAGAAGGTTCTAAAGTAAATCGTGCTCAATGAGACACCATGTTTTGCCCTAGGTAAACAGTCAAGCACGTTAGACTTTAAAACTGAAAAAAAAAAAAAATCAGGTTTGCACGTTGCCTTGCAGTTACATTTTTGTTTTTAATTTGATGCAGGCTGAATATGAAGTAGAAATGATGACAGAAATCCTCTTGAGGCAGTATCTTAAAGAGTTAAGATGTTTTCCACACTCCTTGTATGGAATTTAAAAGGAAACTCTAGAAGTATTTTTAGCAGTCTTAACTCTTTTTAAGTTTTGCTTCCATATTGCAACTCTTGAGATTTTGTCTTTACCAAATACAACAATGTTCCCTTAGCTTCTTTAGCTTGATTTACTTTTGCACTAAGTAGCTTTCATAACACATTAATTCAAGGAGAGATAGAACCTGGAACCTGCCAGACAGAGAATTCCCTCTTAGTTGTCTATCTACTACATACTACTCATAAGAGTTACAGTTCCTCTAAGACACTTCATGATTTTCAGGAGTATTGATATAGGAGAAATTGTCTCACTGGAAGTAACTAATTTTGGCTAACCTGAATTTTATAGACAGGACTACACAAGCACTTCTGCAGCACTGGGTTGAAGTGACTGTTTCACATGGCCCTGAAGTTTTTTTTTAAGGATTTTTTTTTTTTTCTGGGGGAGGAAGGCAGGGGGTAAGCCTGATGTTTTTTAAGATTTAAGAAAAAATCTCCTGTATGACCCCTCATTATATAAATCACACTTTCTAGCCTCCCTGCTTTGAATACCTGGGGAATGTAGGAAGTCTTGTTTCTTGTCTTCTTCCTTGAAAGATCACTCCTCTAGGAAGTTTGTTCTTCTCTGATAGTATTTGGGAACGAAGAACAGTAACCTTTCATAAGACAAGTATCAATATTTTGTCTTTCAACAGTTCTCTTAAGAACCCATAACGCTACACTGATTCTTGATGAAACTGTTAAATAATCCTGCCAGAGAGCTGGGATTGCAGGAAGTGAACAAATCACAGGAGACTAAATGATGCACGGTTTGGTGAGATAAAGTAACAAAACAAAGCAAAACTTACACCTCACCACTATTACGAACACCACATAAAGCTTGAAAAGAAGCTTTGAAGTTTATAGATAAAAGCAGATGCTGCTCTCTTGGGGCATGAAATATTAGGTCAATGAACACAACAGGAAACAGTCATGCCTAGTGTAAGTGAACGAATAAACAAGACAGGGGACCAAGAACATTTTAAGCAGTGTTTGGTGATGCTGTTGTCAGAGTTGTTTCAATTTCGGGATCAGGCACAATTCTGAGCCTCACTACTTGAATGCATCAAGTCTAACTTCCAGCATACGACACACACAAACTACCAACAGATTTCAAGAGTTTTCAGAAACAAGGCACCGACGGAAGCAGCAGCAGCACCGTTTGAGGCACAATCCTGTTAAACCTACAGAAGGGAAAGCCACGGGGCTCTCTGTCACCCTGTGGCCAGTGCTGCCTGCCCCATCTGCTCTGCAGGACAACAAGGCTGCAGCAAACAACTTCGGTGAATTTCAGCAATTATCAAACGACTTTTTCCCGTTATTCTGTAGGAAGCTCCGAGCTCTACGCGTGAGCCTGCCCCGGGTTACCCGGGCCGAGGCAGCGCCGATCCAGCTGCCGGAGCACGGCTGTGCCAGCCCCTTCCCCGCGGTGTCCCCCCGGTGTCCCCCCGGCTCGGGGACTGGGGCCCGGCCACGCGCAGACCCCGGGGACCCCACGGCACAGCCCGGGCCGAGCCGCGGCCGGAGGGAAGGGGCCGGGACCGGGACCGGGACCGTAACCGGGGCCGGTACCTGGAGCGTCTGGCCGCGTCCCCCCGCTGGCACCCGCTGCCGCCGCCCCCGCCGCGGGCTCCGGCTACGGACCTAGAGAGGGGAGGAGGAGGAGAGCCGCCGTCAGCCGCCGCCCGGGGCCGGCACCGCGCCGCCCCAGCGCCGGGCCCGGCCGCGCCCCCCGGCCGGCCCCGCGCCCCCCCGCGCTCCCGGACGGGCCCGGCCGCGGCGGGGGGGGGCGAGGAGGCGGCGGCGGCGGAGGAGGCGGCGGGGCCGGGGGGTGCGGCGGGGCCAGCGGCAACCGCGCCCCGCTGCGGGCCCCCGCTCGGGGCCGCCCCCCGCGCGCCGCGCGCCCGCCGGGCCCGGGGCCGGGCCCCAGCGCCGCCCCCGCGGCTGCACCTACAGCTGCCGCCTGGCCCCGCCGCCGCGCCGCGGGCCCGCATTGTTCGGCCGCCGGAAGCGGCCCCGCGCCCCCCGCCCCCGGAAGCGCCTCGCGGGGCGCCCGCCCCTCGGCCCGGTCACGTGGGGCGCGGCAGCGGCGGCCCAGGCCCGGCACCGGGAGGAGGCGGCGGCGGCGGCGGCGGCCGGGGTAGGTGGGGGCCGCCCCCTCCCCTCCCCTCCCTTCCCGTCCTTCTCCCTCCCCCTCCTCCGGTACCGGCGCGCCCCCTCCCGCCGCGCACGGGGCAGGGCCCGGGGCTCCGGGGGTCCCCGCCCCGCTCCCGGAGCCGCCCCGGCCTCGCCGTGCCCCGAACGGCGGAGGGGAGGGGAGGGGAAGGTGGCAACGGGGACAAAACCGGGGCGGGGGCACTGAAACCGGGGGCTGCCCCGCACCCCGCTTGGCCCGGTCGCTCGGCTCGGGATCCATCACGAAGCGGCCGGGGGGGCGGGGAGCAGCGCGGGGCTCCCCAAATTTCCCCGTTGGACACCGGGCGCTGCCGCGGTGTGCGGGTGGGGGGAGCTGCGGCCGTGCTGCCAACCCCGGCCCGGTCCCGGGGCTTTGTTGAGCCCGGCCGAGATTTGTGGCTGCGTCGGTAAAAAGGGCCGGGCTGCACCCACCTGCCCGCGGCTGGTTAAGTTACAGAAACGCTGAGTTTTTGAAAAGGTCTCTGCTGAACGTGAAAAGGTCAAGGGCTTGAACAAACTGCGTGCTGTGTACACAGTAAATAAATTAACAAATTGAGCTTGGCGCAGGGCTCTCCTTTCGCTTTCCACATCCAAGCGCAGGCAGCTTGTAGCAGCGCCCGGCTCCTGCTCCAGCTCCCTCACAGCGTTTTTCCAGCGCTGTGTCTGCCCGCTGAGCGTCTCTCTTTGAATCCTGGTGAGAGGGGAACCACAGAAGTGTGTGGAGTGTGATCAGAGCGTGCCCAGCACCGGCTGCACTGCCTCTCGCTCTGCCCTGGCCATCAGACCGTCCGTCTGTCCGTCCGTCCCGCGTATCCAGCCCTGCACAGGCAGCCCCTGGATGTGCCCGATGCTGGCAAAGTGTCAGCCGCAGGGTGTGGATGTTGGGGTTAATTCATCCCGGCCACGTTCTTGTGACAGGCGAGCTAAGGCAGCGTCAGCATTTCTGTCACCAGCCACGGCTTCCCAGGACCTGCAGCGTGTTCCTGGGGCTGGGGAATCGGCCTCTTCCAAGAGCCTGAAATGACAGTGCTGTCCTCTGAGCAAATGGCTCAAAGTAAGGGTAAAAATAAATGATTTTGGCACCAACTTGGAATCTGCTAAGGGTTGTTAACAAAGATTGCATTATCTTAACTCTTGTGTTTGTCCAAATTCCTGGCTCTGCGTAAAATGTGGAGTGATTCCACCAGCTCCCCGCGGTGGCTGTGCTCTGCTCTCGAGGAGTGGCGGTGACATCGGAGGCAGCGTTATCTGCAGATAAAAACCTTTCCGCTTGTCCCTGGAGGTTAGCAGGAACATCTGTGGCTGTCAGAGTCTTTTAAAACGAACAGAAAATCTAGCATTGCAGTTGCTATTTTGCCAATTAATTACTCTCTTCAGTTATCCTAAATCTTGTTTTTTCACACGCAGCGTTCCACTGCCTCTCTTGCTTCACTGGGAGTGCAAAAATACTTCCCGGTGCTTTTGAGAGGGATTTGCCCAGGGAAGGGAAAGCTGTAGCTGTCTCCTTGAAAGAGCGGTGGGTAAAGATCAAACGTGCGATTATGCAGACTAATCATATGATACGTGAGAAGAAAAAGGTTGCTAGTGATTGATCTTCCTTGTATGATTTTTTCCCAGAGCTGCAGTAAAATCCAGGCTCTGTGCATATGCTCAAGGAAAGCTGACCTGCAGCTCCTTTCCCACGTCTGTCAGTGCGACACCGGTTTTGTTCTGAAAATTTCTTAGGCTGCTCAGACAGAAACATCTGGATGACTGCCTGCAGTGACAGCATTGTGCTGTAGCATTTTCCACGCTCTTTCACTCGCTGTACTTATAAAAATAATAAATATGGCCCATTTGAATTGAGCAGGAGGAGGAATCACAGCTGTCAAAGCCTGTAAGGAGCTAGAAATCCTAAAGGATGCTGGCTTATTCGTCATAAACCAGCTTTGGGATGTGTACCTTAAAGCTGCTGAACTCTACAACAAATTCCACATTTCACTCACACCGAGTTGCTGCTGCTGAAAACCAGGAAAGTGAAGGCTGAGAAGTAGAACCAGAAAAAATGTTATTTTTCAGTGAATGAATTCGTTCAGAGTCAGTCACCTCAGTTTCTTGGCTGTAAGCTACCTCCTTTTTCATGTTTTTTAATGCTACACTTACTGGGTTTTTATTTGTAGAGGGTAGAGGTTTGTTCTGCATGACGAGCTTTTTGCCTTTGTTGCTTCAGGTAGCTTTTTGAATTAAAATCTTCTTCAGTAATTTAATTAACGTTACCATATCATTCTCCTGTACCTGGTGCATTCATCAGCTGCGCCCTAACCGTGGGATTGCTAAAGGAGCTGCTGCTGACGGGTAAACGCCGAGAGGTTCGGAATGGGGAAAAAAATCACCTTTTGTCTCCAGCTTGCACACCCTTCTCATGCTGCTTCTCTCTCCTGCCCTGAGCCCCCTCCCCAAATTGTTCTGTGTTGTGTTCGCGTCCAAACTCAGTGCTGAGCGCGCTGCTGCCGTAAAGGTAACGCTGTTCTGAGCAGCCAGGGAAGCTCACAGCTGCGGCATTGATTTTCTGCTCTCCTGCCTTTTGGTGTGGCTTTGGACTTCCTAAACACTGGAGAACAGGCGCTCTGTGGAGTGAAACCAGCTGCAGTTACGAGTGCTCGGCTCTCACAGTGGCATTCAGGCCTCTGTGTCTCACAGCAGTGGAAGGTGGAAGGTTTTATCTTCTGTCTCCTGTTGGCTCGAAGCTCTTTTAAGTTCATTCCTGAAGTACTTGTGAGGAGAATTTAGATCTCAAGTTGCAGGCCAGGTGGCAAATACTTGGGAAAAGGGTAGGAAAGTAAAGGATAAATGTCTTATAAATCTGCTGAACTATCGTTGAAGTTTCACAGGTTTGTCTCCCCGTTGCTTGAGATCTTACCCGGTGCAGGGTGTCCTTGCTGTCCGTGTGCACGTTACCTTAAACAGTGACAGTGAGGTGGGCTGCCTCAGCTGGTTGGCTGCTGTGGTGGTAAATGAGAGTGCTGCTGGAGGAGAGCTTGGTTCTGGGACACGCGTTGTGCAACGAGAGCAAGCGCAGGGTGAGGGTGAGTTGTCCTGAGACCCAGAATTTTAAGCAGAGCTGAAGGCAGTGGCCCAAGAGGCAGCTGTGGTGCCTCTCAGTTCGCAGCCTCCTCCAATGGTCTCTGCCTGGGGAGGGGCCGGGATACCCCTTTAATTAATGGCTAAGCAAAGAAGTTAATAAAAATTTGCCTCTTGGTCTGCGTTTTACCCAGACATTCTGACTCCCTTGGAGGTGTAAAGACACCTTCAGGCAAATGCATTGCTGAGGTGTAGGTTTGTGTCCTAAGCTGTGCTGAACTTGAAAGCTCCCATTTTCCTCGTGTTGAGACACACCGGTCCCTTTCCTAGTACCGGATGAGACACTGGCTTCTTCTGGGAAACGCTGCAGCTTGAGGCCTGTGCTGGGCTGGAGGTCTTCGCTCCCGACTCCCAAAAATGCCAGCAGAGAAAGCTTCAGTTCGTCAGGAGCTGCAGATAGCACTAATGAGCACTGTCCCTGTCCTTGGCTCTTCTTTTGATTCCAGAGGAGCCATAAGCCTACCACACGTAATTGCTCTGCTGCTGCTCTTTGATGCGCGCCCTTCTGTAGGCGCTTTAACGAGCTCCTGGGCTTTGGGGTGTGGGTGCTGCCGTGCTCGGTTTCCTGGTTCGGGTACAACGGTCCGTGAGGAAATCTGCCCAAAACAAAGGGCTTCCAAGCACCAGGGAAATACAGCGCATGCAGAGCGAGGGATTGTGCACGTTCGGGTTAACTCCAGGCAATGCTGTAGTGTTGTTAGCATTTGAAGGCAGTGCTTTTGCAACCCCACAATTTGGTGTCAATCCGATGAACCTCTGCTGCTGATTCCAGAGGGTTGGGTAACCGAGCCGAGCCTGCCGGTGCGTCGCTGCGGGACAGAAGCTTCGTCCAGCAACCTCCTGCGCTCTCCCCTTTCCTGTGCTTTCTTGTGTAATCTCAGTAAGGCTTTTGCTCAACGTAAGGTTGGTGAAGTTGGGCTAATCAGGGCCTTCTGCTGTTGCAATTCTGTGTTGTGAAACCGCTGCGGGGGTTCGGCTAAGCCAGCTGTGCTCCAGGACCACGGGTGCTGTGTTTCCACCACGCTACCACAAAAAGGAGTACACAGCAGCACAGCGTAATTTTTCCTTAATTGAGGTTAATGCTGGTGAAAGGTGACAGACTGAAGGACTTTGGAAGCAGGTGAAATTAACACTTCAAGACAGGCACGCTGTGCCAAAATAAATTGCTGAATTGATCCGTGCCTGGGTGATCTTCACCGCTGCTGGTGATCAAAGCCTGCTCGTCTACTCGTGTCTTAGAGTGGCAAACGAGTTTGCTCTGTTTGAATGAAAGCAGTAAAGCTGGGGGCATGTTAAGTGTTTTAAGCTTATTTTTATTCGGTGTTTCAATACATTTGATTTTAGTGTCAGATAATGTGTGTATGATGTAGATGGCGCGATAAGGAGCTTCTTGAGAACTGTTTTGATACTGACATTTTAAACAACACCAACTTAAAAATGAGAACTATGCCCTGCCTTTAAGGTAGCTGCACGTAGTATCATAGACACACAGCGCGTAAATCTTTCCAAACTATCTGTGTTTCTCAGCCAGTAACTTTCATGGAAAGCCAGTGCATCTTAAACTGGTTTTGAAAGGGCTATGTGAACATCGTGCAATTGAAAAGGCAAGACAGTAATCACAGGTATGCTGTTACTCGTGAACAACCCACATCCATTATTCATCTTACGCGCGGC